GCAACCCGGGGTGAGCGAGGAGCAAATCCGTACGGCACTGAAGGACGCCACGGAACCGGGAAAGACACACCATCTCTATGTTGGGAACAACACGGTATGGGAGAAAATAAAGCGGATGTGGAGATCCGAGCGAATAGGCATGGATAGAACGATCATCCGGTGCAAGTATGCAGTGGAAACCGTACAGGATGAGGAGCAACAACAAGCAATTACATTGGCATACCACCAGGGGAAGACCAACCACCGAGGCGTCAACGAGACGTTGCAGGCATTACGGCGAAAGTATTTCTGGTGGGGAATGAAAAAATCTATCCAAGGAATCATCGGGAAATGCGAGGTATGTATGCGCACAAAGTATGATCGACACCCCCCCAGAGGAGTTCAGGAAGAGACACCTACAGGGAATATGCCGCTACAAGACCTCCAGATCGATACATTCACCTGGAAAGGGTTCAAGTGGGTCACGATCATCGACACCTTTAGTAAAGTAGCTATGGCACATCAGGTCATGGACAAGTCTGCCAATGCAGTTGCGGAAGCCCTACAAATCTGGATACAGTTTTACGGAGTTCCCGAGAGGATCACATCAGACGGTGGCAGAGAATTCGACAATACCGCGATTAGGGAGGAGGTGAAAAGGTTAGAGGTTGTGTGGCATTATAACACACCGGGACACCCTAAGAGTAGAGGAGGAATCGAACGTTTGCACAGCACGTTGAGTGACCACATCCGTGTATATCAGGGAGAGAAAGGGTTGGAGCCGGATGTTGCGATGAAGAAAGCCGTAACAGCTTACAACCATTCGATCCACTCCGTAACGGGGTTTTCACCTGTGGAAATACTATTCGGGATGCGCAGGCCAAGGAGAGATTGGGGGGAAACAACGACCAATGAACATCTCGTAGAGCAAATCCAGAGTACTAGGGTAGAGGTAGGAAAGACGTGGGGAAAGGTAGCGGGGAGAATTCAGCGGGAAAAGGAGAAGCGGGTAGCGCGGCAGAATGTGCAGGTACGTGACCGAATGGGAGAATTAAAAATCGGAACAATAGTGTATCGTAGAATTGGAACCAACAGAGGGAAACAATTGTTACGGTACGAGGGCCCATTCAGAGTGGTTGCTATTAGGGAGCATAATCTGGTAACCATTGAAAGCATTAACGAACCTAAGAAGAGGAGAACTGTTCATATTGAACAATTGAAGCTCCCAATGTTAGAACCGGTACAGAAACCAATTGATTCGTAGTACCCTTATCGCGTATTATAAAAAAATATGTTTTTTTTATTATTATTACTGTCGATGATGTCATTTTTTTTTATTTTTGTTGTTCTTGTAAATAAAGATATGGCAGCATAATAGAGGTGATTGTAATTTTTATAGGATTAAGAGTTCTGTTCCATTGTTAATAAGACGTTGTGTGTTTACTTTCTGTGGTTTATTTCTTTTTATTTATTTCTCGTTCCAGCGGAGTGGAAGTGAGTTTTGGTGTACTTTAAGTTTATACTGGTACGAATAATTGTAAAGGGTTAAGGCTGATACCGGTGGCTCCGATCTAGGAATTTATAAGTTTCCGAAAATCCTATTCGTAAACTGGTGGGGGGGAGATAAAGACCGGAGACTGGCGATATCAGCCTTAATACCATCTTGTAATGTAAATAAACATAGCAATTGTATATAAGGCAGATTATTGAACGAATAAAGCAGTGTTTATTCAGAAGCCGTGAGTATTGTTTCTCGTTCCTCTTTCCTTCTTTTTTTTTATTTACAAAGCCCGGAGACGCTTAACTTATATATATATATATATATATATATATATATATATATATATATATATATATATATATATATATATATATACATATATATATACATTGTATATATGAGTAGATTTATGTCAAAGATAGATTTATATCCGAATGCATAAAGTCTCTAGATAAACACTATACTTGTTATATAGCTATAATATAAAGAAATCTCGTTATATATGTGTATTATTATAGCTATATAACAAGTATAGTGTTTATCTAGAGACTTTATGCATTCGGATATAAATCTACCTTTGACATAAATCCACTAATACTCAAATAAAAATATTACTATATAAACGTTTACAGATTGTATTAATTAACAATTATAAAATCAATAGGTTGAGAGCTGCTACTATAAATAGTTGCAAAGGTTGATGATCTGTCAAGATGATTGATAATGCCTTGTCGATCAGAGATTGAACGGCCGTTTACGATCACGAAACCTTCTAATTGCTGAGTAAACGTTGGTTTATATGGCAGGATAATTGTTTCAGCCGATCCCAAAATTAATTAAAGAAATTTTAATTACTGTCAATTAACATCAAATCATAATTACGTATAATAAAAATTTTATATGATCTTTCATTAGACACAGTACAAGGTAAAGGAAAAATTAATTTCTTACAAAGGTTACACATTTGAGGGAAGGTAATACTTTTAAATATAATTTTTTTTTTCCGATTTCGTGTAAAAGACTAACAATTCACATAAGGTTGAATCAAGGACCATGTCATGAATTTTTTTTATTGAATTATAAGATTAAATAAACGAATTTAATCTGCAAAAAACAATTAATAGAAATTGTTTATTTCGATTTGAAATTAAAATCGATCTATTGATATAGATTTCAAGGGAAATTTAATTGAAGGAATATTATAGAGCAAGAGAAATTTATTTTATTTTATTTTTTGTTTAGTTTGTAATCGCCTCTACTCTAGAGGGTCATTGGCGGTGTTTTTTATGCTCTATTGTAGTATTGAGTTTCTATTAAGGATCGGAATAGAGTCGGGACTCCGCCCTCTTTGCCTCTTAATATTTCCTTCATTGTTATTGGTTTTTATTTTATTTATTTATTGAGTATTACAACAATCTGTGACTTGGACATTAGTTATAGTGAGGTAGGATAACATTCACACTATATGTACAAAAAATATAAAATAAATAGAACAAAATAATAATCAATAGTATATACAATAAATAAAATAACCTAAAAATCAGAAAATTAAAACTAAGCAAAAAACACATGCATACCTATATACACTATTTACAATCAGGCGAGGGAACTCCAGGAGAACCCTGCGCTACTGTCTCAACCGCATCACAGGTACTGAAGCCAACGGAGATTGATCGAGAGCACTTTTGTTATTGGTAATTTCAGTTATTGTCGATTCTTGTTTTTTTGTTTGAACTCGTGACATTCTACTAATAGGTGTTTCACCGAATGCGGCCTATTGTCACACTTTTGGAAAATGAGTGCTTCTAGTCCTCTAAGAAGGTACCCGTGAGTAAACAGGCGGTGACCAATTCTTATTCGATATGGTTTCCTCTCTTCTGGATTTTCTGGTGCTTGTAGCCCATTTGTTGCACTCTGTTTTTATTGCTAGTAGTTTAAACTGTTTAGTTTTCGAATTTTTTCCCAATCTTTCAAAAAATTCTTTTTTTGTCCGTGAACCCAATCTTATACTGTGGTACAGTTTATTAAAACTATAGTTGGTGCCTCTCCCTTCATTGCTAAATTAGCTGCTTGGTCTGCTCTTTAATTGCCTAAGATACCACTATGAGATGGAACCGAAACAAATACAACACTGAACGTTCTTTTTTTCAATCCTCACCATAAATTCAATATATCTCTTATTAGGAAATTGCTTGGCCATGGGTTATCAATTGCTGCCATGACGCCTATGGAGTCCGATGCTATCATCCATTTATTGTCAATTTATTGTCATTTATTGTTATTGGCATTATTTTCATTGGAATTTGATATCCAATGGAGGGGCTTCATGATCGCAGCAGCTTCTCCAGTAAATATGGAACTCTCTCCAGGTAAGTTAAACAGGAGCTAGTGCTGGTTTTCATTAATATATATAACGCAGCCAATATTATTTTCCATTTTGGAGGCATCGGTATATACGACATTAAAATTTTTGAATTTCTCTAGTAATTCGAGAAAATAGTTTTGGATATTTAGTGAGTACTCTTTGTTATATCTTGCCATCGATGTATCTATAGCCGGTCTAATTTTCTTGCAGAAAGAGAAATTGAATAATAATTTTATTAATTTAATTATTATACACTGTATAACATATAGTGAATTATTATATTTAGAGAACTAATTATTATTATAATTTTGCACTGTACAAGATTTTACTAAAATTAAAAAAGCACGTTACCATTTTCGATAACATCATATTTGAAAATGGTGATTTAAGTTAGTTATTTAGGTCATTGATCCCAAACTTACTTAAAATTTAAATTGAAAAATATCAGTTTTATCTCCTAGAAAAAAAGAGATATTATTGAAAAATATTTATACATTCCTTAAAGACTGATTATTTATCTGATATGATTGACTATTTCTTTCTTAAAAAATTGCTAAAAGTACATTTTTATATACATTTTATCTTTATATCACAAAATTTTATTTTATATTTATTTAGAAATGCTCGTAGATGCTTGGATCCTGCACCTGATTACTCATGACAATCAGATAAGTGAATGTATATTAAATTCATACGGACAAAAATGACCAAGTTCAAAATAAAACCGACTTGGCTTTATCGCACAATTTCTGAGAATCGAGTATATTTCATACTATTGAAACAAAAAATACAGCCCTTAGTACGAAATATTTATCTATTTCTTTTTTGTGTAACCAAACTCTGATTATCTCCGCAGCTTGACCTTGGTAAGATAACGTCAAGATCGTCCACGGACAAATAGATATTCTCTTATGTCGACTCCAATATGCTTAAAAATGTGGCCGCGAAAGCGTCTCAAGCCTCCGTTGCATTGGACCATTCCAGGATGTTGTTAAGCCTATACCTTTCTTTGATAAAGAGTCGGTCTAATACATAGAATTTTTCGAATCGTATTGTTTCTGATATTAGCGCGTTCAAACACACAAATACTTCAGCATTATACATTACCATGGATTTATTTATTGGTAATGCTTTAAACTGATCACTAAGACTTACCTTTGTGTTGAGGAGCTTGTGCCATTGTGGAGTGAGGTAGTACTGGATGCCGATCTCCGCCCCGGGCAGTGTCACCCCGCGGATCAAGAGGATGAAGAGGACAACGTAAGGGGCCAGTGCGGTCACCCAGACAGCCTGCAACAATAGTTCGAGATAGTCGAAATATAAGAATGAACCATCTAACGATAGATGGTAGGGAAAAGAAGAAACAAACTTCGAAGATCATTGTAATGTTGACAATTACCTGTTGACGAACCAGAATATTCTCAGAAAAAAGGAGGGTGTACATGGCAACCCTTACTCCTTAACCTGGATTTGGTTACCTTAATTTATCAAAGAGTTATTTATTACAAAGCATTTGTTTTTCGTTTTCCATTGCGGACTTAGTTTGTAGATGCTATATTGTGAATACTTATGATTGTGAATGCCTAAGAAGGCGCCAGAGGAATACTAGGAGAATATTTACTAAGCTTTCAAATATGAATCCTTTTCTGAGCTATTCGGACATATTCCAGATTTATCGAATCTTCTAGACATTGGATTAGATAGACAGTCATAAATTTTATATGCAGATATATTAAAGCCGAAAATTAGTTGTTGTTGGTCTCTGCTGATGAACCCAGCTGTTATTTAATTTAAGGTCAGATAGACTATTTCCCTCTTTTGCTTCTTATTTATTTATATATATATTTTTAGGTTGGCTCTACAGACCTTGTAGATCATTGGTAGCCTGAACCAGCCTTCTCCACCTCTGCCTATCTTGGGCTACTTCTTTCCAGTTTGCTGCATACAGCTCAGCAAAGTCTTCGTTTATCCTATCTATCCATCTGGTTCTTTGGCCTCCCACGTGGTCTCTTGTCAACTACTCTGGCATTCATTGTTGCGTAAAGGCGTCCTGATGGATTTCTTTGAGATACATGCCCCGCCCATCTTAACCTCCTTGCCTTCATACCATGAGATATTGACTGAACAGTTCGTTTATCAGTTCTTTATTGTTCCTTCTCCTCCATGTACTGAAGTTCTGATCCCAGATAGATCCTGTTATATGGAGGACTTTTCTTTCGAATCTCTCAACTAGGGTGCCGATTAGAGCCCAGGTTTCACAGCCGTACAGCAGACTGGGTTTATCACGGCGTTGTACACCCTTAGTTTTAGATTTTCCTGGGTTTCAGTACCCTTACGAGGAAAAAGCTGTGCTTGTTATTCGCTGGTCAATGATTTATATATATACATATATATATATATATATATATATATATATATATATATATATATATATATATTGTAAGCATACTTTTTGTTCTTTGATAAATCACGGACAATATTAATGCTCATTGTTAATCTGGTCATCATGGACATTGATTGCAATTATGTACAAAAAAAATAAAATAGCATTAAAGAAAATGTAGGCAAACCCATGAGATCGTCTTTCGTTAACTAAAATTCAGATTGGCGACTCTTTATTAACCTTTAAATTAATCTTTGATTAAATATTGCTGCGTTGCTTAGTGATGGATTAGCTGCACCATGATAGAGCTGGCGCAGTAATTAACACATTATTGACTACAGAATTATAAGGAAGATGAAAACATAATTGGTTGGTTCCCGAATTACCATAACAATGGGAGTTGGCCACGGGTGGGCAGGGGCTTCGTGATATGGTGTCATTAATACATGCCTATAACGGATGCTCTACTGATTTCGCTTTTATGAAGCTCTTGTAATCATATATATTCATGCAAAATTTGTTAACATTAAAAGTAGGCTTGTTCCGATATTCATAATAGATATTGATATCTGTCTCGGATAACGATATTAATATAATATCATATCAAAAATATAGATATCGCTAATATTGAATAATATCTATATCAAAATGAAATTGGTGAGAGACTTAACAAATATATCGTCGTTTTTTTTTAAAGAAGTCATTAAGTGACTTTTTCTATCCTTAAACCACCAATAAAAAACGTATTAATGGATTTACCTTTGTGAAATTAGAAAATTACGGGCTTATTGTAATTATATTTAATATGTGTGGATGATCGATTTATAAATGTTTTTGTCACTTTACTACACCTATAGTATATTACATTATTAATATACATATTAATATATATTCGTTTGTATATATATTTTATTTTTTATTGGTCACATACTTTTTAAATAATGTATATAATATTAAAAGTTTTATAAGTTAGTTTTTGGTCAGATTTCTACTTTACTTTGTATTAACTCATCATTGTTATTCTGAAGGGACTTAGTCCCAGAATAAAGTTTAATTTTCTATTCTATTCTACATCGATTAATTAGATCGAAATTAAAAAAAAAAAAGTTCAGCACCATCAAAAATGTACTACGTGAATTTTAGAAATAAGCTGACGATATGAGCTGTTTTATTTGATAGTATAGTAACTCAATTTTGTATTATATAGAGATATTTAAGGATTAGCATTTCAATGGTTTAAAAAATGTTAGAATACGTTAATACGCTAATTTTATATTTTTTAAATATGACATTAATATGAATTTAAAATGTGGACAAAATTATATCGAATCCTTTTGTTTCAATACTTTATGTGGCGATATAAAATAGAAAATATCGATATTAGTATTATAGTTTCTAACTATAACCACTAGCCATATTTCTATTAAGAAAAACTCCGAATTATTAGAGAAAAAACGTAACAATAAGTTTTTTTTTTGTTTTTTTTAAAAATCTTATTTATTGAAAAATATAACAATCTGTCTCAAGGACATTTATAATAGTGTTCACAGATCACATTCACACTCTATGTACAGTAAATAAAATAAATTATACAGAAAAATAACACATATACAATAAATAAGAATAAAATAACCTAAAAATAAATGAATAAAAAGAACACATACATACCTATATAGAATAGTAGCAATAAGTAAAACGACATTTTGGCCAAACGGTATAAAGGCCATTGGAGAAAACTATCATGAGTCTTTGGAACTTTAAGTTGAACTGAGATTTACAAAGGGCGCCAGATTTTAAATATTTGACCTTAGAGACGATTCATGATTTATTTCCGTACCCATAAGCATAACGATGCATTAATGGAGATGTATTTATATCTGAATAAACAATATAGTTAGCTGTCACAAACATTATATAAAGACATTCAAATCAGTATATTAAAAACTGATTTATAATGAAATGAAATGAAATAAAAATCAGGTCATAAACGGATATCAATTTTATTGACACGGCGTTACAGTCATAATGCAATATATTACTCTTCTGAAATACAATAATGTTAAATTTTATGATTTGAAAAAAATATTTTAAAAAAAGAATTAATATTATTTTCTTAGTATGTTTTCTGCAATGTTATATTAAATAAAAAAAAAATTGAATATTCGAATTCGGGAAATGACATTTTAAATAGTATTAAGCCCACATGTCAAAATGAAAAGAAAGACTGAACAAACGACTAAAAATACTATACTACCTGTTTTCCAAATCAAAATTGAAAATCAGACAAAAACTAAATATGTATACTTACCTACTCAAACCCATAATGGACATAGCCCTCACAAATTTACGGCTCTACAAAAAAACAAAACAAAACAAAAAAACTCACTTACAAAAACTACAATTATTTCAATCTAAAATTTTAAGATTAATAACAGTAGCTCCCTGGTACGTAAACAACAAAACTTTACAAACTACTATCGATCAACGCATACGTACTCTCTATTTCCGATTTAATCTTAAACAACACGGTCATCACAACGGACTTATCAACGACATGGCAACATCTCACATGCCCATCAGGAGACGACTAAAGAGGAGCTGGATGAGAGATCTCCTTTCCTAAATTATGAAATAGACCAAGACCAGGAAGAAGTACTGCTGGGTACTAATCTTCCTCATGACTAAAATGCCAATTTGGTTTACAAGGAGATCACATGTACATATTGTCAAGACTATGATAGATATGGATAGGAGTATGAAGAGAGAAAAAAAAAAAGTAGTATTTAATTTTAATAATTACAGATTGGTATGAAATAATGAATTTTGAATTTTATCTAAATTTCAGTGATCTTTACAATTTGAATTTTCGTTAACGGAAAAGGTGCATTGGAATTCGACAACAAGATAACAAGACAACCACAAGTTAATTCAGGTAAGATTTGAATTTGATGAATCAGACTAAAATAATATTTATCGATTTTTAAATAAATTACACAGTATTTGAAAATCTGATAAATAGTTGATACACTTATTTGGAAGATTACCTATCGAGAAATTGGCTAAGTGCCTTAAGACAACAGAGATTCAAGGAAGAAGAGAGTTAATTAACGAACTTAGGAGTCACTTGCAAACTAATCTCAGCACTCAGATTAAATTCAAAGTTGCTTTTTCTTTCTAAGTTACATTGTAACAGACATCTGCAGAATATTTTCTCCCTAAATAAACTACTTAATTTAAAATCGCCCTTCTTTCAAATGATAATATTGAATTGTCCTTCGAGCAGCAGGTGTCCCAGGAATTGTCTTAGTGGAGATGCAAAACAAAACTAAAGGTTGGACTTCCTAAGGTTCTACATTTGATTTAACTTTTAAAATATTTTCAGCTGTTACCGATGATTTATTTGAAATCCAAAGTAAAGTCGACGGTATTTGTAAAAAAAATGTATATATGTTTTTTATTTTAGCTTTTAATATTCAACTGCATCTGTAAACAAACTGTTTACAATCAATTGATTGTCTGATGAAAATGAGAAGTCAGACTTGGGAAAGGAAGGTTAGAACGCAGCAGTACCTCTTAACTGCCTTGATTCAATTACTATTGTATGATTAAGAAGGTCTCTCATCCAACGCCATATTAGCTTCCTTTTCGTATTTTTGGACATATCAACTGAAGCGATATCTCTTATGAGTATACTAATATGTCAGAGTAAATTAGTATGAAATCGTTGATAAAGAGTTCTTGTCTGTTGATAAATACAGGTAGTATGTCAGTACGTAGAGTTTTGTCAGTTGTGTACTCAGTTGCTTTAGTAATGAGAGTTGATATTTTTGATTAGAAATCATGAAGTTTTTTTAATAGAATTTTTTAAAGAATAGTATTTTGGGGGGAGGGGCGAGAGACTTTAAACATTTATTTGCACCTGTCAACTTTATCTTGAATATCAGCAAATGTACTGAGAATACAAGAAATACTGGCGTCAAGCATGAGGAAGTTGACAGGCGTATATACATTTTTCATAGACAAAAAAAAAAAAAAAAGCATGGGGAAGGACAGTACTTAGC